AAAGTTAGAGCAATTTCATAGTGTGGCAATTTCATCGTGGACACCCTTTATGAATACCCCATAATTCCACGGAATTCCTTGTAAGTCGCTGCAAACTTGCTTAAGTTAATAGGATTATTCTGAATCTATCTGATCGTCCTCGAAGTACACGGAACTCCACTGAATATCATGAAACTATCAAAATTTATTAGAAGTTCTCTGTAATTTCTTGAATGTATTGCTGCTTGCTAAAAATTCTCGTATTTTTTTTTAATTAATGGAACTTCGTTAATATTCTCAACTTAGCTAAATTTTCACATTTTTTAAAGTTCTTGAAATCTCTATGATATAGCACCCTTAAAATACTCTCACGTTTTCCGGATGTTCATATAATTTTTATCACGTCCCAGAAATTCTCTCGGAGCTTTGCTGAAATATCCGGAGGTTTCTACAATTTCCATGAAATTATTTGAACTGCCCTTTGATTCTCTGATCTGTCTTGATGTTCTCGAAGCTTCCTTAAAGCTCTCGATTCTATTGAAGATAAATTTCCCTGAAATTCTCGAGACTTCTGTGAAGATCCTGAAATATTTCTGAAGTTTTCATAAATTCTCTGATGGTTTCTGTACTTCCCTGAAATTTTCGGAGCATCAGGGTTCTCAATTTTTCTAAATTTACAATTATAGATCATTAAACTGCCCCAAAAGTCTGGACTAAAGTTACGGGACCTGCTTTTAAGATCTGAAATTCTCCAAAGATCTCCAGATCTAGCTTTTCTGAGGTGCTTAGAACTTGTAAAAAAAATGCACAATGCCCCTCAAGTTTTCTTTATTTATCAAGTTCACTTAACACCTATGATGAGCTCTGAAATTTTAGGGACTTCATAAAAGTTTTTCTGATTTTAAAAGAACCGATTTGAGGATCTTAAAGCTTCGCAGTTTGTTTATGGAGCTTCACCGAAATTCTCAGCATTTCCTTTCATTCCTGAGAATTCCTTCAAAGATCCTACAATTGCTGTGAAGTTAATGGGACTGCAATGAAGATCTATAATCTTTGATAAAGTTAATTACGAACTTGAAATAAATCATTTATTTGTTTTCTTTAATTCAGGCACTTTGAAAATTTTCAATATCTTGAAATTGTACTTGGCATACGAAACTTCAAGACATTAAATATTTGTAGATCTTGGACTTACTCAAATTATGTGCGTTTTTTAAACTATTTTAAAGTGAGAAATTAAGCAAGTGCTTGTCTTCAACAATCTGTTTCTTTAAAACTGATTGCCATGCCTTAAAAACGTTTGAGTTAATTGCTGTTGTTTTTGATCTTCCAAATAAGCATATTTTAAACCCATTTTAAAAATAACTTTCTTATTATAAGCCTGTAATTTATCCATTTGAGTTCTGGAAAAACCTGAAAAACTCAAAAAAATTTATTTAGAAAAATGAGTAGTACATAGATAGAGAAAGACGATTATACGTCACAAAGCAAAGAATGATCAATCTCAAAAGAAATGCACACTAAAAAAGTTGAAAATAGTGACTGCTTTCAAGAAAAAGTGACTTTAGTGACTTGAAAAAAGTGACCAAGTCACTAAAAAGCGACTCGCTATCAGCCCTGTGCATTTCATAGTAAAACTGCTTGCCAAAGTGGTCCATTCATTTTTGTTTTCTGATGAACTCGAAAACAGTAGGCTGCGTAATTTCGACATCTTCAGAAGACGCTAATTTCAAATAACAGAGTAAAGTGGTAATTTTTACACGATAGATGAGGAGATGAAAGTATAGAGTTGATAGTTCCGTTAGAGTACGGCAGTGTGAAAATTGTATGTAGATAGTAGAAAGCGAGCAAGTACAAGAACTTGAGGAAGGTACAAATCGGTTTGATCATCTCTCTTTGCAATACAATAGCTGCAATTTCCAAACCTACGTCTGGATGCCTTCCTCCAGATAACAACTTGAGTGCGGTAAAAATCGATAGAACTGTTTCAAACACATCGTCGGTACATGAGCGAGTCGGCGATCATCTCTTTTTGCCAGTGGTGGCGGGGGGAATATCCCTCATCATCCCTCTCCAACGGGGGAGTTTGGTAAAGAGAGATGATCAATCCGATTTGTACCTTCCTAAAGTTGTCCTTGCTCGCTTCCCGAGCAAAGTCCAGCAATGAAATTATGCAATTGATAAATTTTGTTTTCATTTTGCTGTAAATTTGCTCTTCAAAAATATGTTGTTGCGGGTTTGTTTTCATTGCGTTAGCATAACATCAAATTGAATACTTGTTTTGTTATCAACAGGAAAAATGGATATCAAATTTAGTTTTCGGTTTGCTCTCACTGATAGCAGAGATAGTTTTCAATGTGATGTCACAGGAAGATTTGTTTGCTTTCAATTTTGATATTGTAACCGTTAAAACGACCAAAATAACCTGAGTAATCATTATCAGCGAAATCACAACATCAAATTTAGATTTCAAGACTTTGCTCGGGTTTCTACTCTCTACATACAATGTTCACACTGCCGTACTATCACGGAACTATCAACTCTATACTTTCATCTCCTCATCTATCTTATAAGAATTACCACTTTAGGCTGTTATTTGAAATTAGCATCTTCAACTATGTAAATCGATGACTTCACGCAGAAGTAATACAAAACAAATAGTCAAAGCATCTCCAGAAGAGTTATTTATATTTAAAAGATAAACAAATTTGTCAAAGACGTCAAGTCTCCAGAATGACAGGAAGTAAAGTTTAATTTTAGCGCCATCTAAGTGGATAAGTCTTGACCTATATGTTTATAGCAATAAATGGTGCCTATTATAATGAAAAACTTTGCTGAAAGCACCAAGTCATGGAAATGCTTCGTTTCGTAATAATTAATTTTGTTCCGCTAGATTGCATTCCTGATCCACTGTTCTGTGTAAATTAACATCAGAAAAAAGGTAATTACCTTTTATAGTTAGTAATGTCTAAAAAGAATAAAAAAAAAACAATGTTTTCACTAATTTTTAATATTTACATGATAATTCGAAAACAGTTGGCAATGGATTTTTTACATCTTGAGAAGAGTTGTTTATTGTATTTGCTGAAGACGGCAAGTCGCTAAAATGTCAGACTGAAAAGCTCAATTTTGGTGATAAAGGGCGAACACGAAATTATTGCGACACATTCAACAGGGCATAACTTTTTTACCATTGGGTAAAAATCAACCAAATTTTGCACACTTTCTCATTGATGTGTATTGTGTACATGCTGTCAAACTCGAAGTCGTGTTTTTCGATTCAACGAAAATGGAGGTGAACCAACGCGAGTTGAGAGAACAAATTCTTTCCAAACACCTGGAATTTCCTGACCTGTCGCACCGGCAGTTGGGAAAAATGTTGAACATTCACCATTCAACCGTCTCCAGAGTGTTGAAGCGGTTCCAGGAGCGGTTGAAGTTGGACCACGGCAAAGGAGCTGGAAGAAAACCGGGACCGGAGAACAAAAAGACGGAGGGAAAGGTGAAGCGGATGATTAAAGCAAATCCCAACGTCTCAAGCCGTGATTTGGCTAAAAAGATCGGCATGTCGCAGAGCTACGTCCAGAATGCAAAGAAGAGAGCTGGACTACATACATACAAAGTACAGAACTACCCAAACCGCGATGAGCGGCAACAATCGACGACTAAAACTCGGGCACGGAAGCTCTACGAAAAGATGCTGACAAAATATGGCTGCTGTGTGATGGACGACGAAACGTATATAAAAGCCGATTTTAAGCAAATTCCGGGGTTTGAGTTTTTCACCGGCAAGAGCAAGTTCGATGTGTACGACAAATTTAAGAAGAAAAAAATGTCGAAGTTCGCCTCCAAATATCTCATTTGGCAGGCCATCTGCTCTTGCGGACTGAGGAGTGAGCCTTTCGTGACAAAGGGCACAGTAAATGGCGAGATTTACAAATCTGAGTGCCTCTAGAAGCGCCTTTTGCCGTTCTTGCAGCAGCACGACGAAGCTCCGCTATTTTGGCCAGATTTGGCATCATGCCACTATTCTTAAAGTGTCCTGGAGTGGTATGAGGCCAATTCTGTCCATTTTGTTCCAAAGGACATGAATCCGCCAAACTGTCCGGAGCTGCGCCCGGTGGAGCAGTACTGGGCAATAATGAAGCGGGAACTTCGGAAGAGCAAGAAGACAGTCAAAGACGAGAAGGACATGTTAAGAAAATGGAAAAAAAAACTGAGAAACTGGTACCGGATGACACTGTAAAGACTTTGATGGAGGGCATCAAGCGAAAATGCGTTCAATTTTACACTCAAGGCTCCATCGATTAACTTTTCTTTTGATTTTTGAAGTAAATATATGTATAAAACTACCCTAAAATTTTGGTTTGATTCTAAACATTATAAGAAAATTGGCATGACATTTTCGGTGTCGCAATAATTTCGTGTTCGCCCTTTATCTATGCCAATGAATTTCTGTTTGTGTTGATAGATGGTCCTCGTTATAATAAGACACCAAACCTCGGAAATGCTTCGCTTTGAAGTTATTAATTATGTCCAGCTAGATTGCATTCCAGGTGAATCTGTGTAATGATGGAATTGTTACAGCTGTCAAAGAAACCGTGCGTCCATTTAAAATGCCACACAGAAACAAAATCTATTGGCAAAAATACTATATTGATGGTTTAAATTAAATACTCCAACCAATAGATTTGTGCAGAAACGAAATTCATTTAATTTTACTAATTTTTCTATCAAAACTACTATACCGTTCGAGTAACCATAGTAGTTTTGACAGAATTATAGTAAATTTGAATATATTTATAGTAATCTATACTGAAATCATGGTAGATTTAACGGTATTAAGCGTAGTTATACTGAAAATAAGTGTTTTCTGCAAAATAGTATTCCTAACTATTCTCTTTGTTTCAGTGCAGTTGTTGTTGAGTGCCACGTGTGTCCAACTCTATAAATTATAAAAATCAGTTACTCGAAAGTAGTATTGAAACTTCTCTCTACTGAAGCTTTTCCCATTTCTCCTCTTTATGTTTAGGTAGAAAACGAAGTCATCTTTATTACTATCGATCATCATACAAACTCACAACCGTCTACACTACCGCTAATCTACAGAAATCTACAATCTACAGCTTATCAAATCTAATCTACTTCTCGTCCCACTCAATGATGCCTTCCAAAGTACGACCGATCCTGCTCGTGTCGCGCCCCTTCCTGGTAGTTGTTGTTGCTCCTTCCTCCGCCAATGTTCACCGAATACTGCCGTCTACCGGCCGAATTGCTTGACCCGGGTGTCTCCTGCTGCGCTTCCAGGTCCCGGACGATCTTGATCGGTGTCGAGCTGACGTACTTGTCGTCCTTTCTGTCACCACCACTACCACCACCACCACCACCACCACCACCAGCACTCGGGTTCCGATCAGTGGACGCTTTGTACGGTGCCTTCGTCGGGTAGAACGGATCGTACCGGTTAGGGTACTTGTTGTAATTCCGATACCGTAGGTCAACATTCGGAGGGGTTCGCACTACTTCCGGTAGCGTTGCGTAGTAGATGATGCGGCGGTTTCTGGACGGGATCACTGGCGGATCCATGACGTCATTCGTTAGGAGATAGTTCCGATCACGGTAGTACGATGGAACGTCGAACCGTTTGTCAGGGTAGTAGTAATAGCTGGGGAATGAGTATCGCGGGAAGTAGGTGTCGTAGTCGTTGTCGTACCGCCGCTGGTAGTACATATCGAAACGGTGTGGAGCCGGTGGATGCATCCGATCCATCATGTCCCGATGGTATTCGTCGTATTTGTTGTAGATCTTTGGGTACATTGGGGACTGGGAGTGGGAAGAGTACGAATCGTAAGCTCTTGGTGCAGCTGGATATTCGTAGTAGAGTCTTGCCAGTGGTTTGCGATACAACTCCGGGATGACCTTATCCTTCTCATCGCGAGCTTCCGATTGACCGGAATTGAACTTCTTCTGCGTGATGAAGTTTACTCGAGGAGCTCTCGCTTTGATGCCTTCGCTCATCATGGAAGCTTCCGCTTCGGAATCCATTTCCTCTTCCTTCATCGGTTTCTTCGCCTGATAGGGAGTTTTCGCCCACACTTCCATGGTGCGTTCGTTCATCATCTGCCTGGCCGGTGTTGGCAGCTCTTCGGTTGGTTTTGGCTCCTCCGTTGCAGCATCGTCTTCGTTCTCAGTGCTTCGTCTTTGCCTTTTGTGCACCGAACGATCCTGATCGTTGCGGAACTCTTGAGCGTCAACTGACTGTCGGAAGTGGCTTCGCAACCCCGGTGACTCCAAAACCCTATAAGGAATTTCCCGCTTGTCGCGGATCGCTCGGTAGTAAAACGGTTCCAGCAAACTTCGCTGCTCGTAGAAATCATCCTCAGGATTGATTTCCGTTCCAGCCGAGTCCAGATCGTAGCCTTCCAGTATCTCCATATCTTCGGGAATGTGCATCGAGTTTACCGTGATAACTGCCAACAGCAACATCAACCACGGCGCATTCCAGAGGTGCGCCATTTCCGTTCACGAATCTGGATAGGTGGAGAGAGGGAAAGACAGATGAAAGCATTAAACATCTAATCAATTCTGTTCTGATCGGTTTGCTAAGCAGATCATGGAGTGATGTTGGGAACAATTTGAACAATGAAGCAGCATTTCAGATTAGGTTGGTCTATCAATTTTGATCCGATGCTGAATCACTGAATCGTTCTAAATTGAATTCAACCGGATTGAGCTAAATGGGAAACGGAAAACAAAGCGTCACTGATGGATGGGACCGACCATTCCCATTTTGATTAGATACCCGGTGTCACCTATGACACTCGCAGTCTTTGTGTGCCCGCATATAGATGAGTTTTTCGCCACCCCTCGGTGGCTGCTGGTGTTGGAGTCAAGGTCAATCCAAAAAAAAGGTATTGTTAAGCTGCGTTTCATTATTAGAGCTTACGTCATACTACGGCCTATCACGGTCAAATGGGTTGAAACGCGGATGGTGGTCATTGTTTTAGAACATTTGAATCATTTCGGATGAGTTAACTATTACCAGCATAGGTCGAATGTTTGATAATTTAACCTTGCATGACGGATTTCATAATTTGTGATTGGCTAACTGAATCCGATAATGGAGATTTTCATTCTTGGTTGTTACATCTCAATCTCAGCTGGAATTGTATGCCTGCCTTCAAGTTGCTAATCTCCAAGCGCTTCAATTGATGTTAATTGGATTCTTTAATTTTGAAAAATATGTCGGTTTTCAAACATCATCTCAAAGGGCATCGTGTTCTGAGCACAACGATATTTTTTTCGATCCCATTAACTTCCATCTCAATTTATAAATTAAGATTTAGAGCAAAATAATCACTTCACTGTTTGACACAAAACTAACAAACTGACAGCTCGTTCCCATACGAAGTAGCATCGAGGGGCGCTAAGATGGTGATTTTAGCTAATGTAGTCACACTTATTTAAAATAGTTCCAGTGCTCCAAAATTGATGAAATTTTGGATTTCGATTGTATTGGTAATGCAGATTACGAATCAGGGCCCAACAAAGTCACTTTCAATCGAAAATCGTCAAGCGACGACGAAGCTGTCAACCGTCACTTTCAATTGAAAGTCATTCTGTCTTCTCTTCGAGCAGATCCCCTTCAACATCAACAGAACCACTTTCGATCAGTGTTCATGCTGTTTGTTTTGGCTTGACTCGCGTCCATTTCGTCTTTCATTGTCAAATGAACTTACTTTCGCATTGATGCGAAGTATAGTACGATCCGAATTCACGCAGTTTTTCTAACTTTTGTTGATTGTTCACTCGGTTCATGCGCATAGATCTGTGCACGGGGATGTCAAATTTATCACTGTCGGGTGGTTTGTTTACCCATCAACATGGGTATTTTTGGAGTCAGGGTGACGTCTAGAGGGCAGAAATTTATGATTGACGCCATGGAAATACTGACGCCGACCCATTAATAATGGGTATTTTTGGAATCGGAGTGACGTCTAAAGATCGAAACCGATATGCGACGCCATTTTAAAATCCAAGATAGTGGCTTTCAGTTTAAGAAAAAGTGGGGAATACTGTCAAATACCCATTAATAAGGTATTTTTCTAAATCGGGATGACGTCTAGAGACTTAAAATCGATATTCACCGCCATTTTGAATTCCAATATGGCGGCTTCCGATTTGATTAAAAGTGTCAAATACCCTAAAATATGATTTTTTTTAGTATCCAAGATGGTGGTTTCCGGTTCTAGAAAATCTGGGAAATACTGTCAAATACCCATTAATATGATTATTTTTGGAATAGGTATGACGCCTAGAAAATGAAAATCGATATCCGACGCCAGTTTGAAATTCAAGACGGCAGCTTCCAATTTGAGGAAAAGTTTGAAATACCCTAAAATTGGGGTATTTTCCGAACAGAATAACCCGTAGATGCCGAAAATCGTTGTCAGACGCCATCTTGAAATCCAAATTGGACTTCTGATTTCAGGAAAAGTTGGAAATACTGTCAAATAATCATCAATGTGGGTATTTTCTAAATCCCAGTTACGTTTAGAGGTCTGAAACCGATGTTTGACGCCATTTTAAAATTTAAAATGGTGGCTTTTTGAAATCGGGTGACATCTAGAGGCCAGAAATCGATGACAGACACCATCTTGAAAATAAAGAGATGACGTTGTAAATTTACGTGTCGTCTCCGTTCCGAAAATACTCATATGGTAGAGTATTTGACTCATTTCCTGAAACCACATGAGCACCATATTGGATCCCAAAATGATATCTGATGTAAATTTTCGACATCTACGCGTTGTTCCCGTTCCGAAAATACGTATATCTCAGGGTATTTAACACTTTTTCTGACACCCGATGGCCGCCATCTTGGACTCCAGAATGGCCTCGTTAATTAAATTTTCGTTTAATATAAAATAATATGCATGTAATCCGGATGCCAATTTCCCTAACACAGATTTCAAAGTTGAATTCCATCCGGACTCACCAAACGGTGTTTATTCAATCACCGCGTGGAGAGTGGTGGTGTTCTCCAGTACACAACGAAAGGCTCCCCGCAAGCAGCTAGCTACCAAGGCTGGTCTCAACCGCTGATCGGATTCAGTTCCACTCACCGTGTGTGGTGGTGTCCGGTCATCGGCATCAGCAGTACTTTCGGCGCGTGGCGTTGAACATAGTTCTACAGTACACAACGAAAGGCTGCCTGCAAGCAGTGAGCTGCAGCCCACATGAGCATCCATAGAAGGAGGAAGAAGCTGCACCGCTATTGATTGGAATCAGAAGCTCTTCGTGAGTCGCTGTGGGCCATCTATGCCAAGCGCGTCACCCTCGTTCCAAACAACATACAGCCCACCAGCCTCATCTGTTTTTAACACCCTAATTGCTCAGCATTACTCAACCTAGCTAAAGCTAAACGGTCCTTTTCAGGACCACCATAAATTTGTAAAAGAGTATTTTTTGGACATTTGTCAAGGTCATCAATCGGATGTCAGGATAGAGCTGGAATTAGGGCGTAGCATCTTTTGTAAACAATGACTTCTTTCGATGATGTCTTTAAATTCAAGGCTCGCCCACGCAAATCAACATCACCATCAGGTATGGTAAGGCTTCCTCTACCCGACGGTAATGTTGGTTTGCGGGAATTTTTCCTACGAATCTGTTAAATTTGAGACTTTATCATTTTTCAAAATGTCACTATTGAAAATTGCATGAATGTGTCACTGTTGCTATATAATTAAAATTATCACCGATGGCCTGGGGAAATCGATTTCCCTAACACAGATTTCAAAGTTGAATTCCAACCCGTCTTACCAAACGGTGTTTATTAAATCACCGCGTAAGTGGTAGTGTTTTCCAGTACACAATGAAAGGCTGCTTGCAAACAGCGAGCTACAGCCCACATGAGTATCCATAGAAGGAGGCAGAAGGCGCACCGCTATTGATCGAAATCAGTAGCTCTTCGTGAGTTGATGTGGGCCATCTATGTCAATCTCGTCATACTAAAGAGTATAAATAGAGAGAACACCGCTCAAATTCCTTTTCCTACACAAAATACAAGCTCCTGCTGCACAATTAAGATTTATTATATAAGACCACGTAGTCCTACGTCACCATTGCGTACAACCCCATAGGGCTGTCCCTAGTAGTTTTTTTTCCTTGATTGGTTTTCCGTCGATCTGATCGGATCGAAGTAGGCCGTGCTACAAAAATGACGTGTTTTTGTTTTGCTGTGTCGTTTAAAAAGTGTTAATTTGAAAGTACAGAAGTGATGTTGACAAGTGCATTAAGTGAAAATTTTCAAACTCTTATCCGTTGCATGTGGTGCCGACTGTTCTAACCTACCCGTAGTTACGCTCAGCTAAGTTTATTCACCTTTTCAGTCCTCGAGAGGAAATATCCATCTAATTCAAGACGATCATTTCAAAACTTACTAAATACGCGTCAATCAAGTGTTGCACTACTGCTTGATTGAAAGTACATTATCAATGGTGTATATTTACATCAATAATGCATTGGAGCGGGGCTTATCATGTGTGAAAATAGCTTCGGAATGCTTGCGTTCTTGTAATGTGCTATTGTGGCTGCGGTAGAGCTGTCATCTTCTAACTCCCGGGTTCAAGCTTCTTTGCATTCATAACAAATGATACTGCCATACAGTGTGAGTTAGGCCAAGGGCGAATCTTCATTCTAATCTACGATTCCACAATGCGAACGTTAGGCATTTTAAAAAAAAATGGACAAAAAATGTCGATTTTTCATGAGTTTACCTTCACCCTTCTTTCTTCTTCTTCTTTGCATTTTAAGCTTATTGCATATCGCATATTAGCTTATTGCGTGCCCTCAACTTAGTGTTCTAGATGCACTTCCACAGTTTTTAATTGAGAGCTTTCGATGCCTGTACCATTTTTGCATTGATATGATTGTGTGGCAAGTTCAATCATACTTCTATGCCCAGGGAAGTCGAGAAATTTTCCAACCAGAAAAATTCCTAGACCGAACCGGGAATCGAACCCAGCCACCTCCAGCATGGTCTTGCTTTGTAGCTGCGCCTTTACCGACTGAGCTAAGGGAGGCACCTTCACCTTCACCCGCACTGACGAAACTACCCATGCAGCATCAATCAAAGTAACCCATGAGTCAGCAGACAAAATTTGACAGCTCTATCAGTCGAACTCTAACCGTGATGGCAAAAACAGTGAAGCAACTCCGTTCAGAAGTGTGCACGTTCAAAGAACGGCACCCCGCCGCGTCGAAAACGGACATCGTGCGGCACTTTGCGGACGTCGGATACGCCCGTTCTGGCATCTACAACATCTTGGCACTATTAGACAACAATCAGAGCATCGAAAGAAAGCTCGGTTCCGGACGGCCGACGACCCTGAGCAACAAGAAGCTACAAAGGATGTTGAAGATGAAGACCGAGGGAAAAGTGGCTACATCGCTGCGTGCGCTTGGCCGGGAGGTCGGTGCAACCGGCCAAACCGTGAAAAAGTACCTGGCGAACATGAACATACATGTCAGGAAGCGGAAATCCCATTTTCGGAGCTGCAGGCAATGACGCAGCGGCAGCGGCTGAATAAGATGGTCAACTCGTTTTTCCCGGCGAATCGCGACGTGGCGGTAGTGATGGACGACGTATTTTACTTCCTCCACGAAGGAAGTGAGCACCGACCTCCCGGCCAAGCGCACGCAGCGATGTGGGAACTGCCTCCCTGGCGTCGGTAGCATTGGTGCTCAGCATAGAAAACAAAATCGACGAAAAACAAATCAAGGAAATTGTGTAGATGTTCAGAGATATTTACAGATATTCATTGAATCATGAAAATCTACAGAGAAAATTATAGAACTTTCAAGAAGTTCGTAGATTATTAGAAATTTTGTGAAAATCACAGATAATTGCTGATCTTTAAGGATCATAAATCTGCAGGGATTCAGGAACTTTGAAGATTTTTAAGAAAATTTGCACAACTTCTGCAGAACACATAGAACTTCAAAGAAATCTTTAAAACAACCGAGAAATTTGCAGATATTCAGGAAAGTTTGTTCTTAACAGAAATTTTCAGAAATCTAGGAATCATGTTCAGGAGTTACTCAAAATAACTAGGATAGGCAATTTTTTGGTCAACTTTGGAGTGTTGTAACTTCGCCAAATATGATCCGATTTTAAATCTTCCAAAAGCATTTGACTGGAAAACTAGTATTGTTCTACGGTGTAGCCTACGAAAATAATCCTGGTCGCCGGATACTGGACATATTCCGGGTTTCCGGAGGGCTTGTCAAACTTGCTAAATTTTTGGTGAAATTTTATATATGATGCTGGTTAAATATATATATTTTTAGTAAATACAACGAAAGAAGAACCATTTTTAAAGCGAATCATATGCCAAGAACTGAAATCGGCCTATAATCAACCGAGATATGGTTATTTCCCTGGAATCGGTTCTGGTGGAGGGTTCTGAATTCGGGCAGAACATTTTATCACTCAAAACAAGCCGTGCGACAGCTCTTTCTGCATGGATTTTCATGAATATGCTTTCTATAGAATTGAAGTGGATCATTGACCCCAGGGCATTCCAGTGACTCCAGAAAGGTCAATGTGGTCAATGATCCACTTCCATTCTATAGCAAGCATATTCATGAAAATCCATGAAGAAAGAGCTGTCGCACGGTATGTTTTTGAGTAAAAACGCAATTGCCCCCTACTACAGGTTCCCCCGGGGTATCCCGTGATTCCGAGAGTGACCAATGTGGTCAATGATGCATTGGAAGTTTAATGAATGCCTATTCATGAAAAACCAGGAAGAATGAGCTGTCGCACGGTATGTTTTGGTGTAAAAATGCAATTGTCCCCTGCTCCAGGTTCCCCCGGGGGCATACTGGATGTTCCGAGAGTGGCCAAATTGGTCAATGATGCATTTAAAGTTTATCGAAAGTCTATTGACGAGAAACATGAAGAAAGAGCTGTTGCATGGCATGTTTTGAGTGATTAAATGATCTGCCCGCATTCAGAACCCTCCACCAGAACCGATTTCAGAAAAATGGCCATATCTCGGTTGATTATAGGCCGATTTCAGTTCTTGGCATATGATTTGCTCTAGAAATGGTTCTTCTTTCGTTGTATTTACTAAAAGTATACATATTTAACCAGCATTATATATAAAATTTCACCAAAAATTGCCCTCCGGAAACCCGGAATATCTCCGTTATCCGGTGACCAGGATTATTTTCGTGTCCACACCGTAGAACAATACTAGTTTTCCAGTCAAATGCTCTTAGAAGATTTAAAGTCGGATCATATTTGACGAAGTTACAACACTCAAAAGTTGACCAAAAATTTGCCTATCCTAGTTATTCTGAGTAACCCCTGTAGATCTATAGAGAACTTTTCCCACTAGCTTGTCAAAAGTTGGTATCGGCATCCTGGCTTCCCTTCATATCGCAGCTCTTGAAGGACAATATGAGCCAGATCCCTGCCAGTGTTCCTCCTGAGCAACCATTTCCTACTCCACAAAGTTCACCTTCTCCTTCTCATTTTATTTTAAATAATAAAAGCCTGCCTAAGCTAGAGCAATTTTCCGGTAATTCATGATGGAAGTATTTACTTTTGATTTCTGATATAGTTTTGTTTTAAAATCTAAATTGATAGCTCTTTCGACATGTGCAAGCAGTGTGAACACCAGCAAACAGTGTGTCGAAAGTAAATTCGAGTAGAGTTTTCATTATGGCGGCGGTCAAAATCAGACCAAGAAATCAGATAGTCTAAACGGACCTTAATTTGTGACAACTGTCAAATTTGCCGTTTCCGTTCCACTTCCGCCCACCTTGCGTTTGGGCCTTGAGGCTTCTGACTCTTCTAGATCATTGTAAACTTTCAATTTCACAACATTCTTCTTCATAATGAAGGTTTTTGTTTTCGTCACATAGTTATGTGTCTTATGACACTTTGTAATTCCACAAGCACGGATCCCAAGATTCACGATGTTTATATAGGTATCTGCAAATTTTAGACATTACATGCTACTCCGCAGCAAACAATTGATGAAAGTATCAGTCACATACTTTCACAAAAAGCTCAATATTTTGACTTGTGAAACGGTGAAGTGTAATAAGAAAAAGGAGTAGCAAGCAACATCGAAGATAACCGGAAAACAATCCTTAATATAGGGATAAAATAATATAAACTCATAGCCTTTATTGGTTGAACTAATGGAGGCCCAAGCGACAGAATATCCCTAATAAGCATAAAAAATGCAATTTTGTCTTAATAAATTATCTAAACATTCAAAATCAAACAGTTTATACAAAATGTCCATCATCCATAAATCCTTATCTATTACTTTTCGAAAGCCACAAATGTCATGATATTAATTGTTATGCAATTCATAAAAACCACAATTCACAATTTTATCCACAGCACTTGCACTCGAGATCTGTTCTTCAAGCTTTCCCTGTATGTCACTTCAATGCCCAGTTGAGCGCTTCTAAAACGTACCGAAATACCACAGCAAACCGCAAAACATCCAACCCGAACCGCACTCTAAGTCTAACTAAACCGCCAAACGCGGCCGTACCGTCGATGATCACCATCGCCACAGAACCGAGACGCAGAATCTGCAAAACTAAAAACCTGAAAAGTGCCCCCACGGATGGCACGGGTGAACTATTTTCCCAACACACAAAAGAGTTTTTCTTTCCTCGATGTGATACAATTTGAATAGAGTCCGACAGAGCCCACACCACCCACCTGCAATTACCGCCGCATGCCGTACCGGAGAACGCACCAGAACTATTCTGGAACCGACAGAGTAGGCTGAAAATGTTTCTCCCAGATTATCGTGGAAAATGAGTTTCACAAACTTTGATACGGGTGTGTGGGTACCTCCACTGCATAGCAGGCCGTGACAATGCTCGTACGAGGAACTCCATGCTGAGGCAGAAACCGCATCCCTGTAGCGAATGTATAGGTCTGTTCCGTCACATGGTTTGATTAATCCAACATGGGCCTACTGCGATTGCCGCGACACTTCATCGCGTGGTGGTCAGTAACCCGCGGGCAACCCATCCATCGAAGTAGCGTCGCCTCTCTCCGTCACCTGAAGCGTGAATCCGCAAACATCTCTCCCAACAAACGCGCAATCGTGTGGTAGAACTAAACTAGAATAGGTAAAAGGAATGTATTTAAACCGATTAAATGGTGCAACACGCGTGTAATTTTAATCTCGTCGCATAAAGCACACTACGGTGACTAATTTTTTGCTCCATGCTCCTATTTTGAATACAATATCACCGGCTTTTTCCTCGTTTTGTCGCAAAGTGCTCGTCATTCCGGTTCTTTTTATTATTATGGTAGGTAGCTACGATTGATCACCAACGAATGGACATAAATTCGATTCTTCCGAATGCGTTTGTAAAAATGCTAATCAGTTGCAAGCTGATGCAGATGCATCGGCAGATCGACAACGTGCCCATGCTGATGACGACCGTCATATCGCCGTACCTAGTCCGCATCGGTGTGACTGACGACGACGCCGCGTTGGGAATGTTTTGCATAAAATTAATGGGGCGAAACCAGAACGCTTCGACAGAGTTTTCAGTGTTTTGCTCCAAACTGACCATTGTTTCGGAAACTAGGTGTTGTTACAACAATTCGTTTGCGTGGATTGCGTGCTGTTTCTACGCTAGTGAGAGCGAAAGCATATTTGCTGGCAGTTTTGTTCTCGATTGGATGAAAAGTAAAAGTACATTCCGATGAAACGGTATGGGATCGTAGAGAATTCATTTGGCAAGACATTTTTAGCGAAGACTGATCTCATCCCAAATCATCACTATCTCAGCCACGAGACATCAAATTCTAAATCACTGTTTAGTATACTCATTATGCTCGATTTCAGGGCAAAAATTCGCAAATCTTTCACCCTGCCCTTTGCTTCAGTGATGGTTCAGGCACAAACGAAGTGCCAGACGGAGCGGCTCGAAAACTTTGGTGACTAACCTGCTATTGCAATTTTTCAGTGTACCACATGGCAACACCACTACCATAGAGGTAACTCTAAGACCACTGGGTCCCGAAGAAAATCATTATTATTTTTGGCTCACTCAGTACCAGAACAACGGTCCCAAGCAGTCCCAAGCTATTTCACTCACCCCTGCATGTTCTGCATGAATCCACACACCCCTGATGTTATCTGTCAAACTTTCATAGCGAATCAAAACAAACATAGTGTAGTAATAGAATTTCAACTAGAATAGGGTACGTTAATCGTTTGCTTGGGACCAATAGGCTACTCAAGTGGTGAGCCAATTTAAAATCGTTAGTTTCGTATTGATTGTTGATACTACTAGATTGAACTAGCATTTTCACCAAATGTACTAGAATGTTTTGGTTCTATCTCTTTCACTCTACTCAAAACTGAAATGCATAAAAAAATGACAAAATGATACACTCTTTGCATACTGTCAAAGAATCATTGTACACAAAATCAACTTTGTTCAAATCAAAACAAAAAAACTAGCCCATCTGGTGGATGATGGCACAAGCTTCCAAGAAAATTCTATTACAGTGAACCACATTATTTAAGTGGATTTCTTCGCCAGTTAGTCGTCTGTCACTTCGTTTGTGGTTCAGGTGCGTTTTGACAGGTTGGTCGAGGCAGATTTCATGTGTAAGTAAGTCATTGTTATGTACAATTCACTTTAAAAGGAGCGTTTAATATTACACCACATGCACAGCAAAAAAAAATGTAATATCGATCAACGTAATTCAAGCAGACGTATGAAATAATGATGTAATAGCAAAAAGCAGATACAATATTACATCAATGGATGTAATTTTGTTCGCAAAATCGATGTACATCGTACAATGTGATATTACCCAACCGATGGATTGACCTGGTTGCAGCAGTTTCGATGTAATATTCAACAACTATTTTGCTGTGTGTAGTTCCAAAGAGCCTGTGTGAAGGGTCCGTCCCTTTCCACCATGTATACGTCAGGCGGGCCGTATTTAAATAAGGCCCGTGATGTTGCCTACTATCAAACGTATCCAGCTTTGAATGAGCGGTAATGGCGGCCTGTTTGTATGAATAAATGTATCCTTCACTGTGCTTTTTGACACTAACTGGAGGGGGTATGTTGTTCCATTTTCTTCTGTTCCTGGGAGAGGGAAAGGGAGAAGTCTAAATCCGAACATCCAGAAAGCACAGTGAAGAATACATTTATTCATACAAACAGGCCGCCATTACCGAGCATGGAAAGCTGGATACGCTTTGAACTGTCATAGGATTTTCCTGCGCGTTTTTGAAGTGCATGGATCACCCGTATAGTTGATTTTAGCAGGCGTCGCTCATCTTCGTGTAATTCTAGCAGCCGTACCAGCATAGAGGTAACTCTAAGACCAGAAGATCCCGAAGAAACGAGCTCAACTTTTTGGCTCAGCTCTGGTACTATCTTCGGTCCCAAGCTAATCGATTCACCTCTCGAAACATAGGAAAATTCACTAACCCCTCATTTTATCTGTCAAACTTTAATAGCGAATCATAACAAACATAGTTATAACTAGAATGGGGTACGTTAGTCGATTTGCTTGGGACCAATAGGCTAGTCAAGTAGTGAGCCAATTTAAAATCGTTAGTTTCGTATTGATTGTATTATGACAGACGACTAACTGGCGAAGAAATCCATTTAAATAATGTGGTTCACTGTAATAGAATTTTCTTGGAAGCTTGTGCCATCATCCACCAGATGGGCTAGTTTTTTTGTTTTGATTTGAACAAAGTTGATTTTGTGTACAATGATTCTTTGACAGTATGCAAAGAGTGCGTAGCATTTTGTCATTTTTTTTTTATGCATTTCAGTTTTGAGTAGAGTGAAAGAGATAGAACCAAAACATTCTAGTACATTCGGTGAAAATGCTAGTTCAATATAGTAGTAGCAACAATCAATACGAAACTAATGATTTTAAATTGGCTCACCACTTTAGTAGCCTATTGGTCCCAAGCAAACGATTGATACTTGATACTTGATGGGCTACGAACCGCCAGGTTGATTCAACGCCGAACGAAGTACTCTTCTCCATTGGACTCGGTCCTGAGCCAATCGCTTCCAGTCGCCATGAACGTTTAGCGACCTGATGTCCTCCTCAACTGCAAATAGCCAATGTGTGTCCGAGGTCTACCCCGGAGTCGACGAACTCTACCGGGTTCTCTGCTGAATATAATATTTGCTTGTCGTTCTTCCGGCATCCGTACTACATGCCCAGCCCACCGTAGTCTGCCGTGTTTTATAAGCTTCACTATATCCGTACCGTTATACACTTGGTACAACTCGTGATTCATGCGACGCCGCCAGATGCCATTCTCCTGTTTACCGCCGAGTATTGTTCGCAGCACCTTACGCTCGAAGACACCAAATGCTCTCCGGTCAGACTCTTTTAACGTCCACGATTCGTGGCCGTAGAGGGCTACCGGAAGTATCAGCGTCTTATACAGAGCGAATTTCGTTTTCGTTTGCAGGCTACGGGACTTCAGCTGGCTACGTAATCCGTAAAAGGCCCTGTTTGCAGTTGCAATACGTCTCTTCACCTCGCGGGTAACATCATTATCGCATGTCACTAGTGTTCCAAGATATACAAATTCTTCCACTACCTCAAATTGTTCACCATCTAACAACACTACACTACCAACACCACTATTGCTCCCACGCTGTCTACCGGCTACCATGTACTTCGTTTTGGTGAGCCCAATCCTCGCCGTCTCCCTCTTAAAAGGCACAAACGCCTCTTCCACTGCTCTACGGTCAATTCCGATGATATCGATGTCGTCCGCAAAGGCAAGGAGCATGTACGATCGTGTGATGATGGTACCGTTCCTCTGCACACCAGCTCTCCTAATCGCTCCTTCAAGAGCAATGTTGAACAGTAAGTTTGAAAGTGCATCACCCTGCTTCAATCCATCTAAGGTCACGAACGAGGTCGAAATCTCATCTGCAACCCTTACACTTGATTTCGATCCATCTAGCGTTGCGCGAATCAGTCTAATTAGTTTCGCCGGAAAACCATGTTCTAGCATAATCTGCCAAAGCTCATTTCTCTTCACTGAATCGTATGCTGCTTTGAAATCAATAAACAGATGGTGAGTCTGCAAGTTGTACTCCCGGAATTTATCAAGGATTTGACGCAGGGTAAACATTTGATCCGTCGTTGATCGGCCCAGCCTGGTATTCACCGTCGAAGGACTCCTCAAGCGGTCTCAATCTGTTAAACAGAACGCGTGACAGTATTTTGTACGCCGAATTCAGAAGAGTTATTCCTCGATAATTGGCGCACTCGAGTCTGTGCCCTTTTTTGAATAATGGGCAAATGAGGCCATCCAACCAGCTAGCAGGCAGTTCTTCGTCCTCCCATATCTTCGTTAGAATACGGTGGATTGCTTGATGCAGCTGCTCACTGCCGGGATGCAGTGAAAAGTTCGGCCGGGAGCTCGTCCTTCCCAGCAGCCTTATTGTTTTTCAGCTCACGTATTGCCTTTTTAACCTCGTCTAGCGTTGGAGGCTCCACAGCTTGATCGTCG